GGTATATAGGGGCCCATGGCAGATTAGGGGCCTGGCAGCAGCTATGTGAGGCCCGTAATCTGCCTGCACCCTATGTCAAAAAATTTAACACACCAGCAGTGTGAAGAGACCTGAAAGTGGCACATGGCAGCAGAGTGTGGCGATGGAGACAGCAGCAATGGGAGGCCGTACAGGGACCCATGAGAGACTCTGGACTTGGCAGCAGCATGAGGAGGAGGCGGTATATATAGGGGCCCATGGCAGATTAGGGGCCTGGCAGCAGCTATGTGTGAGGCCCGTAATCTGCCTGCACCCTATGTCAAAAAATTTTTAACACACCAGCAGTGTGAAGAGACCTGAAAGTGGCACATGGCAGCAGAGTGTGGCGATGGAGACAGCAGCAATGGGAGGCCGTACAGGGACCCATGACAGACTCTGGACTTGGCAGCAGCATGAGGAGGCGGTATATAGGGGCCCATGGCAGATTAGGGCCTGGCAGCAGCTATGTGAGGCCCGTAATCTGCCTGCACCCTATGTCAAAAAATTTAACACACAGCAGTGTGAAGAGAGACCTGAAAGTGGCACATGGCAGCAGAGTGTGGCGATGGAGACAGCAGCAGCAATGGGAGGCCGTACAGGGGGACCCATGAGAGACTCTGGACTTGGCAGCAGCATGAGGAGGCGGGGTATATAGGGGCCCATGGCAGATTAGGGGCCTGGCAGCAGCTATGTGAGGCCCGTAATCTGCCTGCACCCTATGTCAAAAAATTTAACACACCAGCAGTGTGAAGAGACCTGAAAGTGGCACATGGCAGCAGAGTGTGGCGATGGAGACAGCAGCAATGGGAGGCCGTACAGGGACCCATGAGAGACTCTGGACTTGGCAGCAGCATGAGGAGGCGGGTATATAGGGGCCCATGGCAGATTAGGGGCCTGGCAGCAGCTATGTGAGGCCCGTAATCTGCCTGCACCCTATGTCAAAAAATTTAACACACAGCAGCAGTGAAGAGACCTGAAAGTGGCACATGGCAGCAGAGTGTGGCGATGGAGACAGCAGCAGCAATGGGAGGCCGTACACAGGGACCCATGAGAGACTCTGACTTGGCAGCAGCATGAGGAGGCGGAGGCGGTATATATAGGGGCCCATGGCAGATTAGGGGCCTGGCAGCAGCTATGTGAGGCCCGTAATCTGCCTGCACCCTATGTCAAAAAATTTAAACACACCAGCAGTGTGAAGAGACCTGAAAGTGGCACATGGCAGCAGAGTGTGGCGATGGAGACAGCAGCAATGGGAGGCCGTACAGGGACCCATGAGAGACTCTGGACTTGGCAGCAGCATGAGGAGGCGGTATATAGGGGCCCATGGCAGATTAGGGGCCTGGCAGCAGCTATGTGAGGCCCGTAATCTGCCTGCACCCTATGTCAAAAAATTTAACACACCAGCAGTGTGAAGAGACCTGAAAGTGGCACATGGCAGCAGAGTGTGGCGATGGAGACAGCAGCAATGGGAGGCCGTACAGGGACCCATGAGAGACTCTGGACTTGGGCAGCAGCATGAGGAGGGCGGTATATAGGGGCCCATGGCAGATTAGGGGCCTGGCAGCAGCTATGTGAGGCCCGTAATCTGCCTGCACCCTATGTCAAAAAATTTAACACACCAGCAGTGTGAAGAGACCTGAAAGTGGCACATGGCAGCAGAGTGTGGCGATGGAGACAGCAGCAATGGGAGCCGTACAGGGACCCATGAGAGACTCTGGACTTGGCAGCAGCATGAGGAGGCGGTATATAGGGGCCCATGGCAGATTAGGGGCCTGGCAGCAGCTATGTGAGGCCCGTAATCTGCCTGCACCCTATGTCAAAAAATTTAACACACCAGCAGTGTGAAGAGACCTGAAAGTGGCACATGGCAGCAGAGTGTGGCGATGGAGACAGCAGCAATGGGAGGCCGTACAGGGACCCATGAGAGACTCTGGACTTGGCAGCAGCATGAGGAGGCGGTATATAGGGGCCCATGGCAGATTAGGGGCCTGGCAGCAGCTATGTGAGGCCCGTAATCTGCCTGCTGCACCCTATGTCAAAAAATTTAAACACACCAGCAGTGTGAAGAGACCTGAAAGTGGCACATGGCAGCAGAGTGTGGGCGATGGAGACAGCAGCAGCAATGGGAGGCCGTACAGGGACCCATGACAGACTCTGGACTTGGCAGCAGCATGAGGAGGCGGGTATATATAGGGGCCCATGGCAGATTAGGGGCCTGGCAGCAGCAGCTATGTGAGGCCCGTAATCTGCCTGCACCCTATGTCAAAAAAAAATTTAAACACACCAGCAGTGTGAAGAGACCTGAAAGTGGCACATGGCAGCAGGCAGTGTGTGGCGATGGAGACAGCAGCAATGGGAGGCCGTACAGGGACCCATGAGAGACTCTGGACTTGGCAGCAGCAGCATGAGGAGGCGGTATATATAGGGGCCCATGGCAGATTAGGGGCCTGGCAGCCCAGCTATGGCAGCAGCTATGTGAGGCCCGTAATCTGCCTGCACCCTATGTCAAAAAAAAAATTTAACACACCAGCAGTGTGAAGAGACCTGAAAGTGGCACATGGCAGCAGAGTGTGGCGATGGAGACAGCAGCAATGGGAGGCCGTACAGGGACCCATGAGAGACTCTAGGACTTGGCAGCAGCATGAGGAGGGGGGGTATATAGGGGCCCATGGCAGATTAGGGGCCTGGCAGCAGCTATGTGAGGCCCGTAATCTGCCTGCACCCTATGTCAAAAAATTTAACACACACAGCAGTGTGAAGAGACCTGAAAGTGGCACATGGCAGCAGAGTGTGGCGATGGAGACAGCAGCAATGGGAGGCCGTACAGGGACCCATGAGAGACTCTGGACTTGGCAGCAGCATGAGGAGAGCGGGTATATATATAGGGGCCCATGGCAGATTAGGGGCCTGGCAGCAGCTATATGTGAGGCCCGTAATCTGCCTGCACCCTATGTCAAAAAATTTAACACACCAGCAGTGTGAAGAGACCTGAAAGTGGCACATGGCAGCAGAGTGTGGCGATGGAGACAGCAGCAATGGGAGGCCGTACAGGGACCCATGACAGAGACTCTCTGGACTTGGCAGCAGCATGAGGAGGGCGGTATATAGGGGCCCATGGCAGATTAGGGGCCTGGCAGCAGCTATGTGAGGCCCGTAATCTGCCTGCACCCTATGTCAAAAAATTTAACACACCAGCAGTGTGTGTGAAGAGACCTGAAAGTGGCACATGGCAGCAGAGTGTGGCGATGGAGACAGCAGCAATGGGAGGCCGTACAGGGACCCATGAGAGACTCTGGACTTGGCAGCAGCAGCATGAGGAGGCGGTATATAGGGGGCCATGGCAGATTAGGGGCCTGGCAGCAGCTATGTGAGGCCCGTAATCTGCCTGCACCCTATGTCAAAAAATTTAACACACCAGCAGTGTGAAGAGACCTGAAAGTGGCACATGGCAGCAGAGTGTGGCGATGGAGACAGCAGCAATGGGAGGCCGTACAGGGACCCATGAGAGACTCTGGACTTGGCAGCAGCAGCATGAGGAGGCGGGGTATATAGGGGGGCCCATGGCAGATTAGGGGCCTGGCAGCAGCTATGTGAGGCCCGTAATCTGCCTGCACCCTATGTCAAAAAATTTAACACACCAGCAGTGTGAAGAGACCTGAAAGTGGCACATGGCAGCAGAGTGTGTGTGGCGATGGAGACAGCAGCAATGGGAGGCCGTACAGGGACCCATGAGAGACTCTGGACTTGGCAGCAGCATGAGGAGGCGGTATATATAGGGGCCCATGGCAGATTAGGGGCCTGGCAGCAGCTATGTGAGGCCCGTAATCTGCCTGCCTGCACCCGTCAAAAAATTTAACACACCAGCAGTGTGAAGAGACCTGAAAGTGGCACATGGCAGCAGAGTGTGGCGATGGAGACAGCAGCAGCATGGGAGGGCCGTACAGGGGGGACCCATGAGAGACTCTGGACTTGGCAGCAGCATGAGGAGGCGGGTATATAGGGGCCCATGGCAGATTAGGGGCCTGGCAGCAGCTATGTGAGGCCCGTAATCTGCCTGCACCCTATGTCAAAAAATTTAACACACACAGCAGTGTGAAGAGACCTGAAAGTGGCACATGGCAGCAGAGTGTGGCGATGGAGACAGCAGCAATGGGAGGCCGTACAGGGACCCCATGAGAGACTCTGGACTTGGCAGCAGCAGCAGCAGAGGAGGCGCGGGTATATATAGGGGCCCATGGCAGATTAGGGGCCTGGCAGCAGCTATGTGAGGCCCGTAATCTGCCTGCACCCTATGTCAAAAAAATTTTAACACACACAGCAGTGTGAAGAGACCTGAAAGTGGACATGGCAGCAGAGTGTGGCGATGGAGACAGCAGCAATGGGAGGCCGTACAGGGACCCATGAGAGACTCTGGACTTGGCAGCAGCATGAGGGAGGCGGTATATAGGGGCCCATGGCAGATTAGGGGCCTGGCAGCAGCTATGTGAGGCCCCCGTAATCTGCCTGCACCCTATGTCAAAAAATTTAACACACCAGCAGTGTGAAGAGAGTGTGAAGAGACCTGAAAGTGGCACATGGCAGCAGAGTGTGGCGATGGAGACAGCAGCAATGGGAGGCCGTACAGGGACCCATGAGAGACTCTGGACTTGGCAGCAGCATGAGGAGGCAGCATGAGGAGGCGGTATATAGGGGGGCCCATGGCAGATTAGGGGCCTGGCAGCAGCTATGTGAGGCCCGTAATCTGCCTGCACCCTATGTCAAAAAATTTAACACACACAGCAGTGTGAAGAGACCTGAAAGTGGCACATGGCAGCAGAGTGTGGCGATGGAGACAGCAGCAATGGGAGGCCGTACAGGGACCCATGAGAGACTCTGGACTCTGGACTTGGCAGCAGCATGAGGAGGCGGTATATATAGGGGCCCATGGCAGATTAGGGGCCTGGCAGCAGCTATGTGAGGCCCGTAATCTGCCTGCACCCTATGTCAAAAAATTTAACACACCAGCAGTGTGAAGAGACCTGAAAGTGGCACATGGCAGCAGAGTGTGGTGGCGATGGAGACAGCAGCAATGGGAGGCCGTACAGGGACCCATGAGAGAGACTCTGACTTGGCAGCAGCATGAGGAGGCGGGGTATATAGGGGGCCCATGGCAGATTAGGGGCCTGGCAGCAGCTATGTGAGGCCCGTAATCTGCCTGCACCCTATGTCAAAAAATTTAAACACACCAGCAGTGTGAAGAGACCTGAAAGTGGCACATGGCAGCAGAGTGTGGCGATGGAGACAGCAGCAATGGGAGGCCGTACAGGGACCCATGACAGACTCTGAGACTTGGCTTGCAGCAGCAGCAGCATGAGGGGGCGGTATATAGGGGCCCATGGCAGATTAGGGGCCTGGCAGCAGCTATGTGAGGCCCGTAATCTGCCTGCACCCTATGTCAAAAAAATTTAACACACCAGCAGTGTGAAGAGACCTGAAAGTGGCACATGGCAGCAGAGTGTGTGGCGATGGAGACAGCAGCAATGGGAGGCCGTACAGGGACCCATGAGAGACTCTGACTTGGCAGCAGCATGAGGAGGCGGGGGGTATATAGGGGCCCATGGCAGATTAGGGGCCTGGCAGCAGCTATGTGAGGCCCGTAATCTGCCTGCACCCTATGTCAAAAAATTTAAACACACCAGCAGCAGTGTGAAGAGAGACCTGAAAGTGGCACATGGCAGCAGAGTGTGGCGATGGAGACAGCAGCAATGGGAGGCCGTACAGGGACCCATGAGAGACTCTGGACTTGGCAGCAGCATGAGGAGGCGGGGGTATATAGGGGCCCATGGCAGATTAGGGGCCCATGTGGCAGCAGCTATGTGAGGCCCGTAATCTGCCTGCACCCTATGTCAAAAAATTTAACACACCAGCAGTGTGAAGAGACCTGAAAGTGGCACATGGCAGCAGAGTGTGGCGATGGAGACAGCAGCAATGGGAGGCCGTACAGGGACCCATGAGAGACTCTGGAGACTTGGCAGCAGCATGAGGAGGCGGCAGGAGGAGGAGGCGGTATAGGGGGGCCCATGGCAGATTAGGGGCCTGGCAGCAGCTATGTGAGGCCCGTAATCTGCCTGCACTGCACCCTATGTCAAAAAATTTAACACACCAGCAGTGTGAAGAGACCTGAAAGTGGCACATGGCAGCAGAGTGTGGCGATGGAGACAGCAGCAATGGGAGGCCGTACAGGGACCCATGAGAGACTCTGGACCTTGCAGCAGCAGCAGGGAGGCGGTATATAGGGGCCTATGGCAGATTAGGGGCCTGGCAGCAGCTATAGGAGGCCCGTAATCTGCCAGCACCCTATGTCAAAAAATTAAACACACCAGCAGTGTGAGGAGACCTGAAAGTGGCACATGTTTGAGGCATGATTCATGGCGGATTTAGTCAGTTGTGTCAGGAACTGGTGGTTTGAAATCCAGACTAATCCACGCCTGATTCATTTTCACAAACGTGAGTCTCTCCACACTTTGGGTGGACAGTCGTGTCCTCCGCGGAGTTACAATACCTCCTGCCGCACTAAACACGCGCTCCGATGCCACGCTACTGGCCGGCATGACAGCCTTTCAAGGGCAAATTCAGCTAGTTGGGGCCAAAGGTCAAGTTTCGTTGCCCAGTAGTCAAGGGGATTGTCTACCTCGGTTGGCAGGGTGCTGTCCAAGTAGGCCCAAGCCTGTTGTTTGAGCTCCTGCTCCAGGTCCACCTGATGCTGCTGCTGCTGCTGCGGCTGGTTAGTAGTTTCCTCACTGCGCTGGTGAAGAAAGCTACTCATCATCGACTGCAGACTGAGGCAGCCGCTGCTGGTGGAGCTGCCACTGCTCCTACCACCCCACCCCTCCCCTGCTGCCATGCCAGCGGAACGCGAGCGCACAGGGCCCACAGTGTCTGAGGATGGACGTTGGCGCACAAAGGCAGAGACCAACTGACTACATAGGTGGTTTTTTATAGTACGTAATTTTGGCCTCCCTCTCAGCAGGTGTGAAAAAGGCCACCATTTTGGACCGGTAGCGAGGGTCCAACAAGGTGGACAGCCAAAAGTCATCCCTCTGTCTGATGGTTATTATTCGGCTGTCGCTACGCAAGCAACCGAGCATGCTATGGGCCATTTGTGCCAAGGAATGCGAGGGACTCCCTGCCTCCATCTCCACAGCATACTGCCACGGTGCGTCTGGGTCCTCTGTCTCCTCCTCCTCCTCCTCTCTCTACCAGATGCTCCTGCTCCTCCACTCCTGTCCGCTGAGTGGAAAAACCCACCCATTTCACTCAAATAATTCCTGAGCACAAATGTCCTCCTCTACCTCCTCCTCTTCTTCCTGTCCTGCCCCCACAGGGGTCATGTGGCGTTGAGATCTGTGCGCCACGTCTACCGCACCCTGACCAGCCATTGTTAACAGCATTTGTTCCAGGACGTGCAACAGAGGAATGACGTCGTTCATCCCATAGTCCTGCCGACTCACGAATAGCGTGGCCTCCTCAAAGGGCCTGAGCAAGCGGCAGGTGTCACGCATGAGCTGCCAATGGCTGACATCTAAGTTACACAGGGGAGTACCTTTATCCGCTTGTAACATCAGGAAATCGGTGATGGCCTTTCGCTGCTCGTAAAGGCGGTCTAACATGTGTAGGGTTGAATTCCACCTTGTTGCAACGTCGCAGATCAGGCGATGCTGTGGAATTCCGTTCTGCCGCTGCAGCTCAATGAGGGTGTTCTTTGCGGTGTAGGAATGGCTGAAATGCATGCACAGTTTACGTGACATTAAGGATGTCTTGCAGTGGGATGGTGGATTTTAGGAACCGCTTGACAACCAGATTGAACACGTGAGCCATGCATGGCGCATGGCACAACCTTCCTTGACGCAGAGCAGACACCATGTTCTTTCCGTTGTCAGTCAACATGGTTCCGATTTTTAGTTTGCGCGGAGACAGCCATCTGTCGATTTCTCTGTTCATTACACTCAGCAGTTCCTCCCCTGTGTGACTACGTTCGCCAAGGCATACCAGGTGCAGCACAGCGTGACACCGTTGCGCCCTGCACATGTGATATGCCGGTCGGGTAATGGGACTTGGCACGGGGGGGTGGCGGCTGAGGACACGGCGGAAAAAGAGGTGGTAGAGGCGGACATGCTTGCTGGACCAAGGACGTGCAAACGTGGAGGCAAAAGCGTCGTGACCTGTCCAAGTTGCTGGTGCGGCTGTGCCGGCACCACGTTCACCCAGTGGGCCGTAAATGACATGTACTGTCCCTGACCGTAGTTACAGCTCCACACGTCGGCGCTGCCGTGCACTTTGGCAGAGACCGACATGCTCAAAGACTGGCCCACCATCTCTTCTACATGTGAATGCAGGGCTGGCACTGCCTTTTGGGCAAAGAAATGACGGCTTGGCACTCTCCACCGCGGCGCGGCACAAGCCATCATTTCTCGGAAAGGTGCTGAGTCCACCAGTTGGAAAGGGAGGGACTGCAGCACCAGCAACTTGGACAGGAGGACGTTCAGCTTTTGCACCGTCGGGTGCGTGCTCGCAAACTGTTGTCTCTTGGATACGGATTCCAAGAAAGACTGTTGACGGAATCCGAGAAGAGGAGTAGCAGGAGAGGGAGCATCTGAACGAGCGGAAGATGCCAATGAGCGACAACTCCCCTCAGCAGAGGTGTTGGAGCCTTGACTGGCTGATAGAGGGCGATTGACGACGTCGGGTGACGGAGCAAGTAACGGAGCGGGTGATGGAGCGGGGGCTGGGGCAGGCAGAACCGCCGTATGTTTATCACGGTTTTCCCAGGCCACCGAATGGTGACGCTGCATATGCTGACGCAACGCTGTAGTCCCAACATGGGCCCCCTGGCCACGCTTGCATTTCTGGCCACATAGTCGACATACGGCTACGTTTACTTCCTCGGGCGGCTTGAGGAAAAATTGCCACACCACCGAGTAGGAAACTTTGCCCCCGCTACTCTTCACTGGCTGACTGCTACTTCTCCTCCGTGCGCACCGGCACCACTACTGGCCGTGGTGGTAGGCTGCAGTGGAGCTGGTGCTCTACTCCGTGGACGTTTGGCTCCACTGACACTGATGCGACCCTGCTGCTGTCTCCTGGGGCAACCCACCGACTGTTTTGCTCGCTGCCAAGCTGCCACCCTCTTCTCCTGATGATGATGCGGAAGAAATTGCCTGATGACGACGAGGCTGCCAAGTGCGATCAACCTCCCTCATCATCAAGTAGGGTCTCCGCCTCACTACTAGCCCCCTCGGCTGCGTGCGTCTGGGTCAGGAGACAGACCTGTCTCTAGACCGCTACTACGAGCCACTCTCCTCGCCAGTACTTGTTCGCTTGGCTGCTGAAAAGGCCGATGTCTCCCCCCGTTCCTGACCGCCCTCTGTTAGCTCTTCCTCACTGTACAGTGGGGCTGAGCCCACAGCATGCGATACTTCGCTTGGTGAGGGAACAGCAAAGGACAGGGGCAGGTAGAGGACACGTGATTTCAGTGGGCTTGGTCCCGGGCCATGCCAACTAACGGTTGTGTCTGACGTACCCACCGACCGTTGGCTGTAGGTGTCAGAGGTGACCTGGGAAGAGGAAGACGACCGAGCCAACCAATCAATGACGGCAGGGTTGTCGGTGGAGACACGACCGCTGGATGACACCGGGAGCACTGGCCTCTGGCTGCGAATACTGCTGCCTCGACCCCCCTTCCTCTGCTGCCACGTCTGCTCGCTCCTAAAACATTGCCTCCTCTGCCACTCCTCTGCATGTTGTCTGACATATTTAATTCAACGATTAGGTGTCCCTGAGTAACAATTCTCTGGCACTCAGTAACAATTCTGTCTGTCCCTGAGTATGAATTCTGTGGCCCTGAGTAACAATTCTGTGTCTGTGCGAGTAAAAATTTCTGTGTCTGTGCGAGTAACAATTCTGTGTCTGTGCAAGTAACAATTTTGTGTCTGTGCGAGTAACAATTCTCTGGCACTCAGTAACAATTCTGTCTGTCCCTGAGTAAACAATTCTCTGGCACTCAGTAACAATTCTGTCTGTCCCTGAGTAACAATTCTCTGGCACACTCAGTAACAATTCTGTCTGTCCCTGAGTATGAATTCTGTGGCCCTGAGTAACAATTCTGTGTCTGTGCGAGTAGTAACAATTCTGTGTCTGTGCAAGTAACAATTTGTGTCTGTGTGCGAGTAACAATTCTCTGGCACTCAGTAACAATTCTGTCTGTCCCTGAGTAACAATTCTCTGGCACTCAGTAACAATTCTGTCTGTCCCTGAGTATGAATTCTGTGGCCCTGAGTAACAATTCTGTGTCTGTGTCCTGAGTAACAATTCTGTGTCTGTGCAAGTAACAATTTTGTGTCTGTGCGAGTAGTAACAATTCTGTCTGGCACTCAGTAACAATTCTGTCTGTCCCTGAGTAACAATTCTCTGGCACTCAGTAACAATTCTGTCTGTCCCTGAGTAACAATTCTCTGGCACTCAGTAACAATTCTGTCTGTCCCTGAGTAACAATTCTCTGGCACTCAGTAACAATTCTGTCTGTCCCTGAGTAACAATTCTGTGGCACTGAGTAACAATTCTGTGTCTGTGCTGTGTAAGTAACAATTCTGTGTGTAACAATTCTGTGTCTGTGCAAGTAACAATTGTCTGTGCAAGTAACAATTTTGTGTCTGTGGTAGTAACAATTCTCTGGCACTCAGTAACAATTCTGTCTGTCCCTGAGTAACAATTCTCTGGCACTCAGTAACAATTCTGTCTGTCCCTGAGTAACAATTCTCTGGCACTCAGTAACAATTCTGTCTGTCCCTGAGTAACAATTCTGTGGCCCTGAGTAACAATTCTGTGTCTGTGCGAGTAACAATTCTGTGTCTGTGCAAGTAAACAATTTGTGTGTCTGTGCGAGTAACAATTCTCTGGCACTCAGTAACAATTCTGTCTGTGTGCCTGAGTAACAATTCTCTGGCACTCAGTAACAATTCTGTCTGTCCCTGAGTAAACAATTCT